GAAGGCTCCAATATGTAATTTGGAGCGTGGTTTAAGGAGACCAGGGATGCTGTTCTGTGGACTCAGATCGTTGTCGAAGGCTGCAGAGGTAGGAGAAATTGAAGATGATGCAGCATCATTAATTAAGAGACGTGAAGGAAGATTAGAAGGTAATGATGGAGGAGGAGGATAGCAGTCAGAAGAAACTTGGGTGCTGACAGAGTTGTGAGGGCGGTTGACACTTCCCGGCTGCCCACACCGTGGAAGGCTATTTCTTCTTAAGGTACCTGAAAGAGATTTGTGTGACCGCAGAGCCCATCGGACATCTGCTTGAGGCCTGTCACACCCAGCCTTTTGAGTATGATTATTTTGAATTTTTGTATTTTTGGGGCCGGATGAGCGAAAGGAAACGACAAGTGAACCAACACCGCCGGCCCGGCAGACCGTGGGGCGTGGTGGAGTGTGTTATTTTTGGGGCCGACCTTTTCTAACCCCCCCTTCCACTGAGAAGGCAGCATCAGCTTGGCACTGCTGGTCATCCAAGGGAAACACCTTACTGCTGTCACACCCCATCCAGCTAGCAGCAGTACGACTTCGCCCTCAGACCCCCATCATAGTGTAGCAATTTACACTATAACGGTAACTGCTTTTCGTCTAACCACTACCCAACAGACCTTTCTGGTATGGTAGGACCTCGAGGGAACAAGCGTTCCACCAGCATAGCTCGTTGGGTCATTGTGATATGCAAGCCCGACCACCACGTCAAGGTAGCAGCTATCGGTCGGGTTTCCCAGTCAAAGCCTACTTCAACCCGCAGTGAGTGTTAGGAAAGACTGGCTAGGCATGAGTAACACGTTTCCTCGCCATCTGAGTTGAAGACTCAACCTCATCAGCTGACTTATCTCTTTCACTTAAAGGCTATACGCAAGCCTTCTGGTTTGTTCCTGTGGATATTTCAAGACACGGGCTACGCCACAAAGGCGACAGTGGTTGGATACTTGAAGCCTTTTCGTGTCCTATACCTTAAATGATCATGTTTTATGCCAATCGAGTAGAATAGAGCAAACTCCGGTTGTTTGCCTGACCATTAGTAACTAATTAGATATGCTAGCGTTATAAATGGTGTAAGCTAACAATCTGGGAAGTATTATTGGATTGTTAGGTAGAGGCGCCTCTTATGCACTCCTGTTCATGTATATTGGTGTAAGATGTTGGCTGAATTAAGACGTAAGATCAGGTTGAAGGCGCCCAAACTTAAACATGGCATTGGCCTATAAAGTATCTGACCTTGGCGCTGACTTGTAAATGACTGCTTTAAATCACAAACCTCAAAACAGGTCTCAATAGTTGTTTTCCACCAGCAAGCTCTTTAAATAAGTTCCACGTGATTTCAAAGAGTTCCTAAATAAAAAAAACCTAGTTGTATATTGTATTGAGGTGTAGTACTGCCGACTTCATATGCATCACTCTTTCTAGTTGTCTACCTAATGAATGCCTGTATCTCTTAGAATCTAGTAAGCTACGAGTAACATGAAACCTAGAATCTTTATATTTTCCATTTCGGAAACTATCTTTTGTTTGTCGATCAATTTTGCGGTTATGGGATGAGTGCGTAGTCGCCAGTTTAGAGTTTTAATATAGTTACTAGCTTTTTAATGTTTATAGGTAGGTGTCCCAACCGATAGCTGCTACCTTGGTGCAGTAGTAGAACTTGTATACCACAATGAGCCAACGAGCCTTAGTGGTTGGAATGGTTGTTCTCTTGATGTCCTACAATACCAGAAAGGTCTGCTGAATAGTGGTAAGACAAAAAGCAGTTACCATTGGGATGTTAATTGCTGCACTATGATGAGGTCTGAGGATGAACCCGTACCGCTGGATGGATGGGCTGTGACAGTAGTAAGGTGTTTTCTTTGGATGACCTGCAGTACCGCACTAATGCTGCCTTCCCTTTTGGAAACGGGCTGCTCGGGATAGAAAAGATCAGCCTCAAAAATAGCACACTCCTGTCTGCCCTTGATATCCCGTTACCGGTGGTTTGGGCTTTCTCTATGTAGCATCAGAACAGTCACATCTCATGCCGACAATCCTGAGAACGCTGTGTCTCAATCCTCAAGCGGATGTCTCATGGGCTCTTTGGTCACATAAATCTTTTTCTCTTCCAGGTACCTTAAGAAGAAGTGGTCTTCCACGGTGTGTATAGCCGGGAGGTGTTAAGCACTCGCATGCTTCCAATGGTACACAAGACCCAATCACACATAACCTATCCTCCTCAACTTTGTCTCATCCCTTGCCTTTGCTTCCTGATACTGATATTAAAGCCTTTACGCCTTACCTAACCTCTCACTCTGGAACCACTGTCAACGATAAAAGCCATTGATACCTCCTTCCAAGTCTCCTAAGATCCCGCTATCGATTTCATGTTAGAGCTTTCAACGTCCGGACTCTGTGCCGAATCGGACAGCAAGCTTCTCTCCCCAAAACTCTGGAATCTCTAGCCATGGATGTTTGCTGTCTCTGAGGCACGTATACAGGACCCGAGTGTGGTTATTATATTGACCTCATCTGACCATTGCAGTGAGTCCTCGACATCCACCTTACGAGTATCCGAAAACCCAATAGCTAGCTAGCTCTTGTGGACTCTGTTGTAGGCATGGTATTGAGTTGTGAAGCAGAAAGTGCCTATCTCGACTGGATACCAGTCAACAACTGTTTATGTGCTGTTCGACTGAATGAATCTGTAAGGAATGGGAAGGATCGTGAGACTAGACGATGTCTGTTCGTAATCTCCACCTATGCACCTACCGACTGTAGTTCGAATGATGCAAAGAATTAACTCGCCCTGTCAATTTTGCTGCAGAAAGCAAAATGTTCGTATGTAGCCATAATAGCAGGTGACTTTAAAGCTCAAGCAGGAAGACTGAGACAATCAGAAAAGCATTTTGGGTGTGTTTACGGGAATCCCATGCCAAAGAACCGACAACGGCGTTCGTCTGTTGCAATTTTGTTTTGACAGTCACTAGTTTCTGACTAGCACTAACTTCAGGCATAAGGAGAGATACTGTCTCACATGACGTCCGCCAACTTCAAACCAATGATGGACACACATGGATCACATCACTGTAAGCCATCGTTGGAGAGGATCGGTGGACGATTATCGCTCTTTCTGGAGTATCTGTTTGGACTCCAGTCACGTGCTAGTACGAGCTTGTGTATGTCTGCACCTTACTGGTGGCAGAAAACGGGTGGAAGTGAAGCATTTCTTTGCTCGATTGGGAGGTAAGAACGCCAAGTACGTATTTAGGGAGGTGTTAACCAAGTATTTAGCTGGATATAGCAATGCTCATCCCATGGAAACCTAACGTGTTGTTAACTCTACTATAGAAACAGTGATGACAGTTGGTAAACTACACCTGATGGTTAGCAAACGTCATTGGATTTCCGCGACGTCATCCGAACTGATTGATGCGAGAAGATTGATTCTAGCTGGGTCTGACCATGACGAAGAGCAAAAGCAACCTAAATGTAAGTTGACCAAAAGTCTTCGCATCAATCGCGAGCGATGATGGGTAGCGAAAGCAAGAGAGATGAGGGGATCAGCATTGAGAAGCACTCGGCAAGTATTTAGGCTCATAATAGAAAAAAGGAAGAAGAAAACCATGGTTATTGAAACCATCACGGAAAAGGATGGGACGCTAATAACCTTTCAAGACAAGTGGCTAGAACATTGGGCAGAACACTCTGAAGCACAGTTCAACTGGTCCTCAACAACGTTTCAATTGTCCAACATCCAGCCTGGATCTGAATAGGATGTAGACGTCGTTCCTACAGCTCTCCTTGAAGTTGAGAAAGCTGTATCAAACAGCAAACAACGCAAAACAGCATGATCTAACAGTTTGCCACCTAAAGTTTTCAAGGATTTAGGTAAGAAACTGCTGAAAAGAGTGATTGAGGTAATAGGTAGTGTATGGGAATCAGAGGTATTTCCGTGAAACTGGTGTACTTCACTGATCATCCCACTCTACAAGACGGGAGAGAAGTTTTCTTGTGACAACCGCGGGAGAATTAGTTTGACTAGTATTGTGTCCATGATCCTGGTGTCCATAGTTATGCGATGCGTAACTGGAGCTCGAGAACAGCAAACTCGGGAAAATCAGGCAGTTTTCAGACCTGGCTGAGCAAACTGCACGGTAGTTGGTGTGTGTGTGTGTGTGTGTGTGTGTGTATGTGCATGTGTATGTGTCAACGGAAATCAGTGTTTTGGGATATGGCTCAAAGTCTATTCCAGTGGTACAGATGCACCCTCATACTATCTACGCCCTAATTGCCACAGGGAATTTCGTTAGTTTCACTTCTTCTTCCTCTCTTACTATGTACTTTCAACTACTTCTGAATTTTTCCCTTATTTCTCTATTTTTCATCTCGATGCTTCTTGCATTGATATGTTGATGTGAGGTGTGGTAACTTGGACAGTTATGCAGAAATACCAGGTCTCATTTTGATATTGGCTAACTGAAACTTGTTACTAATCTCATACTTACATGTTTCATACTGTTTAATGTCTTCCGATCTGGGGACCTGTTATTAGACGAGATTTTAAATGGTCATCCGGCGACCTGGTACCATGATTTGAATGATAGTTGTTTGGGATTATCATTTGTTAGTGGATTAGGACTCTCTGATTTTGGTCTCAGAGGTGTGACTCAGTAGATGAAGACGGTAACACATACAACTCAGGATTGAAACCACTTGTGATCACCTTGTTATCTTCCCTATTCATGTTTTGTTTTTCCTAGTTTCTTACGTGGCTTGGTAGTTTTGTATAACGTTTCAAATCAAAAGGGTGTTTTTCGTCCCTACTATTTAATTATTATCTATCCTTTTAACGTAAATCTGATTCGAATACTTCTTTTTCAGTGATTTTTGTAAACGTTTTGATAGAGACATGTTTTAAAAACATTCATTCAGTTTAAGAAGTAGCTAAGGGTTTAAGCACTTCCTATTTTTTTTTTGTTTTTTAGGCATCTGAAGTCTTTTTAGCTTTGGTATAGTCACAGAAACGACCATCCTTTTAGTGGTGATGTGCTGAAAGAAAATCTGTGTATTTGTGGATATTGAAAAAATCTTGGATATAAAATGAATGTTTCTATTCGAAATGTTCTATTCAAGTGTCTTGATGGTTCCGCTTTTTTCTCTGTTAAATCTATTCTGAGAACAATGTCCACTATAGTATATCGTAACAAAAATCCAAGGTTAGATAACTGTCTTACATTTTACACACTTGTAGAAATCTTGAACTTCTTGGTATGGCGCCAAAAACAAAAGGATGGGAACTTCAGGCTCCGCGTAAAGACTTTTGGAATAAGTAGTTTTTTTGAATTCTTTTATTTCTAAACTTACTACTTATCTATCTAGAGTTGTGTTGGATAAAGGATCACATCATACAACTGGGCTTGTTATTCATTTTTCATCAAAAGTTTTACTCTCTGCATCAACTGCAGAAATCAGCATCAGAAAGCATTTGTATAGGTAATGTTCTCATAGAACACATTACATGTATTAGTTGTACTGATGTCTCTGCTGCAGCAAACATTGGAAGAGTGTTAGCCTTCAGATGTCTACAGTGTTGTTTAACTGAACTATGTTCCGATGTAACAAGTGAGATATCCAAAGAAAGTGAAAGTGTATGTTGTTTAAAAAGAAATCTAAGCTATAATTAATAGACTAGAGCTTTCTATGAATCTTTACAGGCTGGTGGTATACAACTGAAAGAACCACCATGTATTGAACAATTAGAAGCTATTGGATTAGATTATGATAGTATGTCAGATGAAGAAAAACGCAGCATGTATCCAAGCCTAATTGAAACTCTTCGAACTGTTCCTGACTGGCATTCACTTCCATATCCATATTCATTGAGACCTAGAGCTAAAAGTGCTAAATTGAAAAACAGTTATCAAGTACGTTTAATTATGTTTCGTTTATTTTACCACTGAATAGAATTTTTTATTCATTCAAATGAAAATTTCATCATATTTTTTCCTCTATAAATATAAAAGTGTTCATAATTCGTTTAAAGTTATTTCATGGAGGAATACTTTTGTCGAAAGATGATAGATATCACTTAGAAGATACTCAGTTGTAAGTTAGAATTTTTCGGTAGTGTATGCTCACAACCCCCATATAATATCAGTCACGTTACTAACTTTTCAACTACTGGGTCGTATGTTATTTTCAAAATTTTGTTAATTTATAACACGACTGTTATTTAATGTCATCAGGGGGTATCCATCCTCGCTTCCAATTTCTTTTTCATTTTTTCCCATGTTAATTAATGCCAAGTCATAATGAAAACACTGGTTACCGTTTGATTTTCAAAGTTAAGCAATGGGGGGGCCCGGTTAGTACTTGCATGGGTGAACGGCTGGGAATACCAGGTGTTGCCGGTATAATGATCATTTTTAAATCAATAGATTTTTGTAAAACCAATCAATTAAAAATATTTTTTTATTTATTGCTTACTAAGTTGAAATCCATACTAGTTATTCTCAGCTTGTTAAGTGTATCATGAAAGTAGTTTTAGGGGCATAAAAGTTTGCACATCAGACTTTTATTACTATATCACTTGATGGATATGAACTTCATTATCTTTTGAAACACGACATGTAAAACGTTGTGTATACTATTCGATCCATCAATTATCGCTTACAATGAAACAAGGATTAGTTAGAAGAAGTTTAAGGGAGGCCAGATCAAGATGTGGCTACAATTCATAAGGTTTTTTATTGTTATTATGAGCCATGTAATGAGGTTAAGACTCACTAATTAGTCACAGGAGAGTAACCAACTTTGTGTTGTCTAGTCCTGAATACTGATCGAATTCTATCGACCATTTTACATTGTGAATATGCTTGGTGATCAAACTGAAAATCAGTCACAATGACACAAGTGTCTGGATACTTTGGTATCAACAAAAATCTGAACCTTTTTATCAACATTCATCTATTTATTCTCTGTCGTTTTATATATGTTTCTTTTTAAACATTAATATCACTTTTAATACTCTTATGTTCTCTGGATGGTGCTGTGAATTATCACAACTTGAGCTGATGATGCGCTTCTGTGTCAGGTTCTGTATGGATTTGTTCCTTTCGCTTCTGTCTTATCCTAACAATAATATCTCAAGGATTGCGTCAAGTGACTAGTTTGGAGGACTGTAAAATTCTAGAAGAACATTCCAAATTCCATGTTGTATTCTACTCATTGTTTCTGCCTTGGTATTTATTTAGTCTTCTTATCAAGATTCATCTTTTCAGTATACAAAATAAGTGCAATGTATCCTCAAGAGAAGTTTGTTTTTAATTTTAGATCTTGTCAAAAATTCGCCAAGGCATGGTATGGGATCCATTCTACCGCAGGATGGTACATCCACGGAACAAAGCTTATTGGCAACATGAATTTGAAGAATCACAAAGGAAGGGACTTGAGTCTCAGGTCACCGAAAACGAATGTGAAGAAGAACAACCTGTTCAAATCATCGTTCCGTCTAAATGGCAAATAAGCTAGCCAGTATGATATAGTTCTTCTATTAGATCTTCAATTGATACAATGTTTTCATTGAATATAACTTTGTGATAGTTTTGTTTTGTTCAGTTTAATGTCTCAATGCTTTAAGCATTTACTTTTCAGCCATGTTATCGTGATATCGGATTTGTAGAAGTCAAGCCTATTCCAGTAGGTATAGTAGATGCATATGTATGTAGTAATTTATCCGTATCTTATAGTCTATTTATTTGTGATGCTAAAACATTACTACTTAAATTCAGTAGTTTATGTATTACTGTTTGTTTTAAGACACAACTTCATATGCCAGGTTGTTTGCTAAATCAAATGAAACCACACTTTTTCTGAGACCGAATATAGTGAAGTCAAGTTGAAAGACTCATCCAATAGTTACGTTAGGTGATCTCTGATGATTCCTTGCTTCATTTTTAAGATCCGGACTTGATATTTATGCGAGAATTTGGAGCTAAGATCAAAAGTCTGTTTCTTCATAGTTAAACCATTTATGTAATATTTACTTCCGCCTTTTCGTGTTATAAGAATATATCGGTTTGCTTTTAAAATTACTTCCTCTAGGTTATGAATAACAGCAAAGTACAAAGTTACTAGTTGGAACTGTCTAGGCTTCTTGATTAGTTAGGGTTCAAAAGGATGGAGACTTTAGTAATTGACGGATTGCTGTTGATGTAACTAGAGATTAACTGTAATGTCGTGGATGCTTTCATCCATATATTTTTTGAAAGTTATGGTATGCTATTGTTCTGTACTGATTAACTTTACGGTCCACTTATTTTTTTTAAACATCTTAGCGTTTTCACTTTTCCCCTTCATTGTACTGTTGGGAAATTTATCACCTTAAAACTATGTGTTATCATCTAAAGTTTCTTTTTTATATCGTATCCTAGACGGGTTCTACTTGTTTTTTGTCTAGATGACTATGGGGTAGTAGAGACCCTGGTGAGTTGAAACGAATTCGGGATGAGCTAATGAGAATAATATCAAATAAAACTAGCTTTGGGAATATAGAGTTAATTAAGTGTATTATAAACATCTAGTGCATAGTGTTATTACTTGTATTACACCGTCGTTGATTAGACCGAATTGATCAGTCTCTGTTGGCATATGGGCTCCTATGCAGATGCCTCGATATTGCCTATGTTTCAATTATGTATAGTAATGATGGGCAGTGGCTAGCAGTGTCCCGAATAGGACCAAATGCGCATCCTGGATTCCACTGCTAGCCACTGCCCATCATTACGATATCTAGTGCATAGTTGTTAAGAATATCTTGGAAGATTAAATGAATGTAGTTTGTTCGTTTTTCTTTTAACAAAATTATATTCTAAACACATCTCGTTTATGTGATCGTAGAGGCAAATAAGTGCTAGTAAAGGAACTCTCCTAAAAAATTAGTAATCTTACAGTAAGATCCATCTGTCTTATGAAACATAGATGTGTATTAGCACTTCTGTAACCACACTTTACGTCAGTATGCGATTTCTCTAAGATTGTAGACAATAAACTATCCATCATTAATATAAAGTTAATCGATAGGATTCGGTTTGCACTCAGGACTAGACAGCATGAAATTGGTTGCTCTCCCGTGAGCAATGTTTAAATGTAGCCCAGTCCTACAGAAGGTCAATCACGGCTCGCAAAGCTCAGTGGTAAAGTCGCTGACTACAACATTGGGTGACACGGGTTCGAATCTCAGGCGGGACATCAGTTCTGCCGAGGTTGCAGATATGCATTGCTGACGAGTACCAACAAGCACGAAACCTAGGTTCAGGGCTTCCTGCTGATTGCCTCCAACCAACTGGCACATAGATTAGAACAGGCAATATCGAGGCATTCGCGTGGGAGCCCATATGCCAATAGATACTAATCCATTCGGTTCAATCAACGTAGAGATATTACAGGTTAAACATGCAAACTATAGCCGTCTGACAAGAAGTGGCTATCGTGACTGGGTGACCTAGTAGATAACGTTCTGGCGTTTGAAACGATCGGTCCTGGGTTCGAGTACTAGTGGGAACAACATCATTCATTGAGACGCAGGTACATCCAGCTGACGAGTCCCAAATAGTGTAAAACGCACTTCCTGGATTCCACTGCTAGCCACTATCTGTCAATAGCACAGTAAATGATTATTTAGAATACTGTAAAAAAGATAGTTGAGACGTATAAATTACTGCTAGTAGTAGGAGCTGTGTAGAACTTTCTGACACTGTGCCTGTAGCAAATAGGTGATTGAAAGACGATGAATGATTTGAATGAAAGTAAATTACACGTCTGCCGCTTACTATTTATTGGCTTCTCTTTCTTCAAAATTAAAAACTTTATTATAATAGGCCTTTTTTAGTTTCCCTCTGTTAATTTACTTCCACCGAAGTATACAAGATAAATCAACGTAAATCCTACACAGAAGTTCAAGTTATCACACATCATGACACCACACAATGACCAAATGAAAATGATATTAAAATAGACAAAAGTATATTGTATGAAAAAGAACTGGGATAAGATAAACCGATATGTATGAAGTTTACAATCTTCTAATTCACGTCAGTTAAGCATGTCTGGTAGCAATTAGCCATGAATACATATCCTATTCTAAAACGTCAGCGAACATGTTTTCTCAAATGTCCTGATAGGCATTTTCAGTAATTATTCTAAAATGTCAATAATAATTTTATACATAAATACCACCTATTCAAATGATATTTTCATTTGCTGCTAAAAAACCGAAATTTATTTGTACGTTATTAAAATGTCAACAAAACAGTTCAATATATAATTTGTAGTGTACGCGCTAGTTTAACGCTGGTATCTTGGTTTACGTTCAGAATCTATCAGTAAGTATTAGGATGGAACCTGGTATTACTGCGTAAAGGTCCAAATTAGCATACCTGACGTCAGTACATGAAAATATAACGCAACACGATGAAATATAGGGAATACATTTGCTGGCGACAATTCTGTACTGTGAACGCAGATCATTAACAAGAAGTCAGTGAGACAGACATCAGGAAAAGATATAATAAATCCTCCAATAAAATGTGACCTTTTTATATCAAATTCTACAACCATTGTTCATTGTATAACATAACTACTTAAGTTACCGAACTACTATATTTTAAAAATTGTTTCAAATCACACCAGAAAATCTTGACATAATTCAGAAATGAATGGTAATGCCTTCTGTTGCTAGTTCATTTGATTTATATATTGATAGTCTTCTGACTACCTTTTCCCTTTTCTACTGCCACCTCTTTTCCCACGTGCCAGTTTTCTTGTTTTATATGATCTCCAAAAAGCTTGTATTGTTATTACTGCTTGTTCCATTTGACGCCTTTCTTGTTCTTCTCTTTGACGTTTTTCTTCTTGTAGTCTACGTTCTTCCATTATTTTCTGATATTCTTCGTTTATAATCTATTGGGAGAGAATTGTTCAATCAAATTAAACTGATTTATGATGATAATTTATTCCGTAATTTTTTTGTGTGTGAAGAAAATGAGATGAACAAGGAGACTTTTTCAATATAATCAAGGTTATGTTTCATTTACTCTTGTTCAGTATGTCATCTTATTTCGCTTATCTGAATAGGAAACACTAATAACGGGTGAGAATACTTCAGCTAAGCCAGAGTTGTTCGTGAAATATGAAGACATATATGACTAAGCAATGTAATACTTGGCATAACAGACAGGCAGGCCAACTTACAATTCTACAAAAACTAAAGTCAATTCAAGCTGTCACACCTAACAAGAGAATTATTATTCGAAATCGAAGTGTACTGAAAGAAACTGTAAGGATACAACAGTACATCTTCATAAGCTACACAGTTTTTAAACAATAAAGAAAAAGGATAAAATCAAAGGAATAAAATGTTAAGGTAACTATGTAAAGATGACAGCAGACAATAAAATGTACAGTACTTCAGTGTCTAGAATGCAAACACAGTATAATTAATGTATAGGCGGATTTACTGTATTGGGTTTTCATCAGTCATTCCCACTTTGAATACATCATTTCTTTCTATAACTAATTATAAGTTGGTGTAAAACAGATGTTATGTTGTCAATAAACCTGAGTGAGATAAATTAAAATGCTCATGCTCACGTCTCTCAAGCGTTTCGTAGTTTTGTAACTGAATACAATTACAAAGTACAGAGAGAGGATTGGATAGGAATTTTATTGATTAGTACAGTTGACAATCATCTTCAAGTACTTTTTCATTGCTGATATTTTATTGCAGGAATAGATTAAACAACAAAGTCATTTTCGGATTTTGTGTTACAAGTGATAGTCATTATGGACACTGAAATTGATTAGAGATTGTCTTTTGTTTCATCATATAAGGTGTATTTTTACTTGTGTAATACCGGTGTAGTATATTAGAATAAATAACAAAATAAACCAATATTTTGTATCATTACTCAACATTTCGGTCTTGCTAGGAAGATCATTTTCAAGAGCATGAATCTGACGTTAAGTTTTCAGGCTTAATATCCAAGTTTTGGTACAGAAGGTGACCTTCATGATGAATCATACTAACTCAGGGCCCATTTTTTTTCAAATCGTCCGGTCCATTGTTAGTCAGGATATGTTCAAACGTATGTCTTTTTTCCTTAAAAACTGATGGTTTATTTCTGTAAGATAGGCATACCTAAACCTAATTTATGTAACCAGACTCGTAATTCTTGAGCATAGAGATCTAGATTTTACTGACATTGTATTGAGGGTGATTAATCTCATACATTATATATATATATAGCTATATACTATGTGATGCTACATATCAAGTGATTCACAATGGAAAGCAGCTCAGTAACGCCTTTCAAGTGAAGACGAGTAAGACAAGTTTGGTGCTTACTACCACCAATCATCTTCCTGATTGTGATGGACTCCACTGAATTATGCCGCAAAGTGTGACGAGAGAGAAGAGGGGAATACACTATTTGACCAATGAAACGATCCCGGAAGAAGATTGGGATTTCGCCGATGATCATTTATGTCTAATGTCTTGTCGCACAAACTGAAACGTCTACATGCGGAGATTAACAAGTTGACAGAAGAGGAGAGGCAATGAAGATGGGACTCCACGTGAACGTAGACAAGACAGAGGTGATGAAGATAACCAACCAACCAACAACAACAACAACAACAAGCACCAACCACCATCAACAAGAGAAGTCTAGAGGAAGTTGTCTCTTTCACCTACCTTCTCAGGAACCATCGTTTCAACTACAGCTGGCGGCGGCTGAGATGACCATGTCAAACTCAGGATCGGAAAGACACCAAGACAGGTCTTCATTAACCTGAAACCACTGTGGAGATCTACTTCACTCCACTCAGCATAAAGCGTGAAAAACATCACGATTATCAACACTTATGTCGTCAGTCAAGTAAGTCAGTGCTTCTATATGGTTCAGAGACTTGGTGCATTACGAAAAGCATTTCCAACAAGCTACACATATATATCACATCAACAGCTTCCACCTACGCTCACTCCACACTGAAGATTAGATGGTCAGAATAATAAGAATAAGCAACAAGGAACTGTGGACTGGCAATGAACCAACAAACTATCGTTGTCCCACAAACATGCATCATAAAGTGGGGATGGATTGGATTGGATTGGATTGGACATACAGTGAGAAGACCATCTGGTGACATCACCTGTCAGGCCAGGCAGTGGAGTGGAATCCAAAGGTGAAACGACGAGTTGGGCGTCCGAGGCGACGGTGACATTGAGGAGATCATGTGAAGAGGAAATGAAAGCTTACGGGCGGTCATGGAGCCACCTTCAAAAGACTGGAGAGAAGAGAGTGGAATGGAGATGTGCTACTGATGCCCTATGTTTCACTAGGAACCCAAAGTACAAATAATTATGAATAATAATTATATATGCATGCTATATGTATATAATCACCCACCTGGAAACGTTCGTTTAGCTCATCATAGGCGCTTTTCTCCTCTGTATACTCTGCTTCAAGTTTATCATATTCATCCTGAAGTATGTAAGTCAATCAAAAAGTTATACTTTACCCATTGCAAACTGTGGAGTGTTAAAATCATATGAAGGAGTTCAATAATCACTTAGAGACTTAAAGGCATACTTATTCATGTGTATATTGTAGTCGTCTGAGTTATCTCTAGGCGAACTGTATAATTTATGGGTAGTTCTTACTACAAATGGACGTGAGCTAGAGAGCTATTAGGAATCGAGAAATACTGGATACCATTTATACAACCTCATACAAACTTGAGTTTATAACCATGATTTCGATCATCTGGTTAAATAGTGATATGGTCAACTTGAAATGTGAAAATCCTGACCTCCATCGAATATAAATTCGTTGATAAGCACTTTTCTGGTGGAAGCATATTACCATGTTGGTTTCAGCCTCTTTAAATTCTATATAAAATTTTAAGAAAACGGAATCTCGTATAGTATGGAACTAAAGGGTTTAATCCCCATAAAAAACAGTTTGACGAATTGAAATCAAGCTAATTAGATTATTTTAGTGATAACATCTTTTGTCGCTATCGTAAATAAAGTGTTGTACAGTGAAAACTTGTAGTTATTTGTGCAGAGAAACAAAAAGCTATGTTGAAGTTAAATTCTACATGACAGCCAGTTAATTTAATCAAATATGTGTAAGGCAGCTGAATAGTTGTTGTTGCGTAAAATAAACTGGTAAACAAACACACTTTACCTGTAATATTGTCATCTCTTGATCATATTTTGAAATTTTTGTTTCTATATCAGTTTCCATTTTATAAATTGTTGCACGCAATGTCTCTTCTTCACAACGATTTGTTTCAATCAATTTTTGCAGCAGTTGGTTTTGATTTTTGTCCTCTTTTTTCAAATTGCCCTCTTTTTCTGTTGGAAAAAATATGAAGAATAGGATAAATTTCATTGTGTGAATAGAAATTTTTTACTTCGACTGCTGGTTTTCAGGGATTTATTGGTTTGGAAATGGTTATCTTCATGGATTGACATCCATTTGAGAACTATTGAGGACATGACAGTATTAAACAACTGTTTCTTCCTGGTTTTGAACTCTTCAACAGCACGAACCCGTAATCCTATCAGACATCAAGACCCAGACCACCAGATCTCACTGCAAGCATGTTACCTTTCAGCTAGTGAGTTGGTATCCAGTGGTCCATTATTTTCTACTTCTGTCAATTCACGAAATAGCGTGCGCTCACCATGAGATCTCACTGTTTTGGAGTCGCGGATATACACTACTGAGGAGTTTCAAAGTAAGATAAAACAGCTGTTTACTCCTCCTAGCTCTTCAGTGGTTTCCCATCTTATGCCAGTCCATGAAGAAAATTACTTTTACAGAATTCTAAGTTTGATAAAAGGAAACTAACAGAAAGGTAAAATGTTCTGAATTCTAAAACATTTTCAAAAAATGGTTTAAGGTTATGTCTGTGGATGATAACAGTAAGCTGTTTAAAAAAACTACTTCCTAAAAAGTGGTGCATTCATAGGATTTATCACAATCAGACGGCAGTTGTTGTCACATATTAAATCCCACTGGAGAGTTCATTGATAATTGCATTGCATTATACATTGACAAATCAAAGGTACTGGTTAGTGACCCCTAATTCATTGACTGCGAGTAAAAGTTATCAAGTATCTGCAATGTCTGATCATGTATCAGGCGTTGATTTGATTATCAAAGATGCGATAATCAATATCTTCCTTCACCTAGCTATGTTGGAATTTAGAACTATAGCACTGTAGTGTGATTATGCGTCCGTATATGCAGAGTGGCAGGCAAGCTTCTCCCTAGATGACTTATTTTTATAAGATCTGTCATCCTATATCTTGCTGTATTTTCGTGTTCTGTTATCCTATCTGACCGTAATCAGCTACTTTTACCTATGAGCCTAACATCATGGTCATTACATGGTATTTGACAGATACGCAGGCAAAGTAACGAGGTAGCTACAAGTCAACCTGTTCCACCCATAGTAGCAAACATACTTATTAGTAAATTTGAAGGAAGTGTATTTCCACTATAGTTTTTTTATCTGTGCGCATCACGTAGTGAAATGGTATTGTGTACTGATAACATTTCGAGCGAAATTTATTGCTCATAATCCCGACAAGGTAATTACACAAATTGCTGGTCTAGTTATAAAGTTCAACCGTTTTTCATTCTTTGACTCACTCGTCAGTGAAATTGTATTCATGTCCAGAATTGGTGTTGTGTCATTTCTGTGTCAGATGTCGATTCGATGCACAAAGCTTCTTAAATAAGGCATTAAGAAGACATATTGCGAGATGATACCATATATATATATATATATATATATATATATATATGATGATTAACGACATCATTGCCAAAAGCCAAGGAACCCGCTTCTAGTACGTTAGGTGAACACTTTAACGAACAGTCCAACTGGCTCACTGTTATCCTACAGTTTCTCAGTATTCAGCCCGAACCTGAATGGAAAGTAAATGTTAGTCCTGCAACTCTCCTCGAGGTTGAAAATTTTGTTTCAGTCGTGAAACGTCTCGAAGCAGCATGATTCTCAAGGTTCTCCACAAGAATTTTTTAAGGAAGAAGTATGAAAATTACTGAATAGGGTGATCGAGTTACTAGGTAGTGTATGTAAATAAGAAGTAGCCCTACCAGACTACCAGATCATTCATTGTTCCCACATATTAGAAGGTAGTGAAATCTTTTTTTATGGCAACAATAGAAGGATCAGTTTGACTAACATCAGGTTTAAGATCTTGGGAGCTTAAGACAATCAGGCAGGTTTCTGACCTGAATGAGGATTCATCAATCAGATCTTCCCCCTTCGTCAGCTTTGGTAATACTGGCATACGTAAGGGTGTTTGACACTTGCTAGATTTTCCAGACTGAAAACGGTATTCTGTTCTGTCAACCGAGAGGTGTTGTGGCAGTGTCTGGCTGTGTAAGGAGTACAGAGAATGTATATGGCGCTAATCAAAGCTTTCTACTTAAACTTAGTTGTGTGGGGGGATTGTGAGGATTAGTCATCCAAAACAAAGATAAATAGTGGTGTCCACTAGAAATGCTCACTATTACCTTTACTATTTAACGTTGCTGCGGATGTATTAGTGGACATAACACTAGGTACCTCTAACCTAATTGGGACTCACCTACTCCTTGGTAGGTATGTCGTTGACTTGGAATATGCAGATGACATAGTCTTGTCAGCCAAAGATACTGATAAAATGTAGAATATTCTCAATGCACTTAGCTGAAATCTCAGTATATCTGGCATGTCTTTCGTATTTGTCAAATGTAAAGTACTTCGGGGCTGATCCGAGGCTGGTCCTCATGTAAGGATTGAGAGTGAAGTGTTTGAATGCGCTGATGACTTCACATACTTGGTCAGTTAGAACAGCACTCATGGGTTGGTTGCTGAGAAAATCTCAGCTCGGATACAAAATGGCCCGTTATACATTTATCAACTTATGTCATCTCTGGCACAGGTGAGATATCTGTCTGTCTACTATAGGACGAGTATCTTGTGCTGCGATTCACTCTGTCCTGTTATGTGACTGATAAATGGTTTTTGAAAGTAGATAACAAGAAATTATAGGATTTTGAGAACAGATGTCTTCGTGTTGCTGTTCGCGTATGATGGGATCACTGTGTAAGCGATGTCAAGATTAGGTGGAGTGTGCTGGGCAAAGAATCTAAGTGATTCGATGAGGTTGTAAACCTTCGGTGATTGAGATGGCTTGCGCATGCCTGGTTACTGCCTACATCGCTTTGGGATGTTAGCCGAATTAGGCTTGGGTCGGAAGAAGATATAGGATGTCTAGGCCAAGGCGTACAAACAGTTCGTGAAGTTTCTTACAATTGGACTGAATCATGTGCAGTGGAGTAGACTATCTTGTTGGGGTCCTTGAGATGATAGAAGCTAGTAGTTGAAATCTCCTAGCAACATGGATCAATGTCGGTCACAGTTGCGCAGGTGAATCCACTTTTTGACATCAAAAATACTAAACATCTTTATCATCCATTATTCCGTCGTTCTGTAACCTTTTTTCAACCCTGATATCATTCTTTGTCGATTCACTCACTCCATGCATGATCTGATGCGCGTCTATGCTAAGTCCCACGTTGATTTAGTTTCGCTGCTAACTGCTAGCCAGTTTCAAACCAGGACAAAACAGCTGTCAAGCTTCTCCTGGTCTTTAGAATTCTTCTAGTTAATATGGATCTGAGATGATAACTCTTTCGGTCTCAACCGATTCCCTATACTTATCTCAGTTGATTGCTAAAAATCTTTGAAGATTGCTTGAGAGCTGGCACTCTTAAGAGGTTCTAAGTGGAAGAAAATAAATGTTTTTTGATTTGTCACTTATTGTCTTTCACTAGATGAAGTCATTTCGTTAGCACAAATCATATATTCCTCCTTTTAGCTGGAAGTGACATTAGTTAGTGATATCTCTGGCTAGTGATCCCAATCATGTAGGGAAATGGGGGCCTGCTAATTTGTGTCTACCTAATAACTAAAGCTGACAGTTGGGGACTTTAAGCGATGTGACTGGAAACCAGTTGAAGTCGCCTAGGTGGATCTACTTTCAGTTTCGTTCTTACTTGCAATATTACTCATCATTATTGAGTTTGACCCATCTCCTTTTTGTTATATGAATTACTAATACTTTTGGTTATATTCGTTCTACTTCTTTGTCTCTCATCTTGTTGTCTTGATTAGTGATATGCTAATACGAACAAGGTGTGCTAACACGGACCTATAAGCACTAATATTCAAAGTCCTATCTTCATAGTACCATCTTGTCTACCATTTTCATTATCAATTTAGGGGGAAAAGTTTATGATTCCTCCTGAGAAACTTAAAATCTTGTTTTACTGTATCTATTATACTTGAATTTTCTAAACCAAAGTGATTGAACAGAAAGTTTTAATGACATAGAATTCACATTGATAATATGTGTTTAAGAAGAATTCACCACGGGACTGTATGAATTTATGTATTCAGTAAAACCGACTAGGCTACGAAATTATTGATTATGATGGGAACCGGCTTTCAGTTTTAGAGACAACTTGTTCAGCAGTATTGTTTACATGAGGCTGGATCTTCTACAACAAGTAAGCATGACAACAGTAATTCTACTTTAGTTTCTTTTTTCTAGAAATGTCACAGTGAAACAGTATTATTTACTGGATAACGTTTCGGACATAATTTATTGTCTATATTTATATCAGGTTAGACCATAACATACAGACAGAGTTTATACAGTTCTGATTTTCTTCCCCTGTCTATGATGGAAAGGGTAGTAGAGTTTTCCATTTAAATGGGATAGGTGCAGAATCATTTCCATTGCATGTATTTGGTATTGATTTGATAAACAAAGATTTGGTTATCAATTTCTCCCTCCACCCAACTAAGTTATTTTTAATACTATCGCTCAAGCGATTTGAATGGGAGTTTCCTATAGAAACTAGTCCCTAGACTTCCATCTTGTTTTCCTTTAATATTGCGATTCAACTACCACTTAGACTTTGGATAGTCTCAACCCATCTCAGTTAAATGTCTCAGTAATAGAGCGAAAAAGCTCACTAGTAGGGCACAAAACCTTCGAAAATTTAGACATATCAAGAATACCCTACGTCTCAATAATTACCCACCAGAATTTATAAATAAATTCATAAGAAATCGGAAGATAAATATTAGCAGTGGTAGTAGTAGTAATACAGGTGTTATTAATAATAATCCCACTACTAATGATAATAATGGCGACAGGGTTAAGAGAGAATTCAAAGCCTCTGCTGTGTTATCATACAAGGATGGCACTTCAGAAGCATTACGAAGAGTTCTCAATAAGGCTGGGATTAAAGTGGCATTCAAACCAGCAAACTCTCTTAGAAACAAGCTTTGCAGGTTAAAAGATCCTATCGATGCAATTAAGCAAAGTAATCTGGTTTACCAGATCCCTTGTAATGATTGTGAGATCAAGTACATAAGTTGATCAAAGTAGTCGACCAGGGTGGATTAGAATAACAGAGCACACAACTTAGCTAAGTTAAGATTAGTAGATCCTAATAAGATAATAAATTTAGAGAAAAGCTTGGCTATAGCTCTGCATGTGATGACAGACAATCACACCATGGGGTGGGATAGGGTGACAGTGTTGAAAAGTAACTTAGTTGTGTGGAGGGAGGGATTGATAACCGAATCTTTGTTTATTTATCGAATCAACGCGAAATACATGCAATGGAAATGATTCTGGACCTGTCGCAGATATATGGAAAATGCTACTACCGTTGTCATCACAGAGAAGGAGAGGGAATTCGGAATATATGAAGACTGTCTGGAAGTTGTGGAGTTACCTGATATGAATGTGGACAATAAATTGTGTCTGAAACGTTACCCAGTGAATGATACTGTTTCACTGTGAGATATTTCTAATAAACAGACTAAAATGGAATTACAGTCGACCACAGTGCACAAGTTTTACTCTTGTGTGAATTATGATAGTAATTCGAAAGTTAACAGGTACCGAATACTGAAATTTCAGCTTGGAAATGTACTGTTCAAGAAGCTGAAGAGCTGAGAATTATTTCGAAATGATAAAAATGATTCATATACTCTGAAGATAAGACAGGTAATCAGCTGAAAAGTCGAATGAAAAAATCTAAACATATATAAACTGAACGGTCTGGTAGCAGAACTTATGAACAGGAGCTAATAATAAGTGGAACTTTGATTTGAAAAGTATGGAAATTCTGGGATGTGCTAACTCGAGAGTCACAACCGACTTTCTCAGTATTTGCAATTCACATGATATGTACACTGACTGACGTTTCAGCATAATTCCAATTCAAAATCTACTGGGAAGGAAAGTCGTCAAAATGCAACGCTATAAGTCATTTCTCTGCTGTGACAAATAACAGAATCCAAAATGTTCCGGTATTAATAGTATTTTTGCCAGTATTATTGAACAAAATTTGAGTGTAGAAAGGTAGAAGTGTGACAACAAAACTGTCTTCTGCTTTTAGCCAAGTTTCAGAAATATATGGGAACTTTGAAGTCGATAGCTTTTGGTAAGATCTAATCTAGCAAGCCATAAAATTTTATGTTTACAAAAGACCTAAAGAGACCAATCACAGCAATCTATAGTTATTGAGTAGCCTCATTTAATCATTTAGAAAAAAGACTAATTGACTTACTGATGACTTACTTAAAATCTATAATTATTGTTTATCAACCCCCCACCCCACCATTTGATTGATATTTTGATTGTTTTGTAAACATATATATTAGTGTGCAGCCAAAGACGGAGACCTAGTTGAAGAGGAATATATTTCTTCGCTCATTCAGTCTTTTTTCTAAATCCATAGTTAATCTCGAGTATAGTTCATACTATATCTAAGAAAGACAATATCCAACTGCTGTCTCTAAGTACTACAACAACCACTGAGAGCGGCAGTTGTTAAAGTAGAGACTAGTTTCTTATCATTAGTTCAGTGGCTTCAATAGGTCAAGGATTTCGCATCATGGATACCTAAGCAAAGGGTGTCTAATCACAATAGGGAGAGGTGCGTACTATCTAGTTAGCCTTCTGTAGAGGCTGTTGGAAATTTTTGATGACAGCTTAAAATCAATCACATTGACGCAGATGTATTTACCGTTTATATCATCTCTGAGAAGTGTTATGCTTCTCCTAACATACATTTTCATGTACCTCAACATAATTTGTTCTTTGTTCGTTTCATCTTTGTTGATTGCTGAACAGTATGGTAACTTCAGCTTATGCACTTCTGAGTAAGATTGTAAGTTTTTTAATCTGTATATCAGATAGCAACATTAATAGCCTGATAGCCATTGATGTCACTTCTTTTTCAATAATTCTATGAAGAAAGAATTGGACTATCCTCCTAAAAGATGTAAAAGGAAGATACTGTACGATGAATGCACAATTTCTTTTCAACAATGAACTCTACCGGCAACCTGATGGTGTTGCTATGGGGTCACCCCTTGGCCAGCTCTTAGCAGATTTTTTTCTGGCAAAACTTGAGAATGGTCCTCTGAACGATACTATTAACCGTTTAGAGTTATATTGTCATTACATGGATGATACCTTTATAGTTCTCAAAAGTGAGACTGATAAGAATGCTGTTCTGAATAATTTCAGTAGTGTTCACCTGGCAATGAACTTCACGATGGAAGAGGAGAAAAATGATAGTATCCCATTTCTTGGCATTCTGTTGGTAAGAAGTTCTAATGGAACCCTGAAGCGAAGTGTTTATAGAAAGCCAACATCAACAGGTCAATATATGCACTTCTTTAGTGCTGTATCCCTCCAATACAAAAGGAACCTAGTGAAATGCTTAGCATACCGTGCATCAGCTATTTGCTCAGAGGATGCTATAAAGGAAGAGTGCGTCACCATCCGTGATCTGCTTAGTAGGAATGGCTACCCAGACAAGTTTGTAACTAAGCACATGAATATTACGAAGGTTAAGACAATGCCAACAGTTCCTAAGAAGCAAATCTTCTTGAAGCTGCAATTTAAGAGTGATATTGCCAGTGAGATCATCACACAACGCATAAAAAGTCTTGCATAAAGCATTCCCGGCCACTAAATTATGTTCCTCCTTCTACAACCGCCCGATTCTAGGTGCAAAAAATAAAGACAAACTGCCTGATTTGGCCACTTCTATGTGCATTTATCAATTCAACTGCTCCTGTGGAGCCGGTTACATTGAGCATACAATGAAGCAGTTCAATCGTCGAATTTCTGAGCACCACCCATCATGGTTGAACAAGGGACAAATCAGAACTATAAAGAGCTCCATATTTGCACACTTAGTTGACACAGGACATCAAGTGGTTACTGAAAAAGCCTTCAAAATTATCCATCAGATTCCAGTTAATTTGCCTCATGGATTAGTCACTCGGTTACTTCACATAGCAGAGGCGATTGCAATCCACCTTTACAAACCCATCCTTTGAATCCAAAAGAAGTTTGTTCGACCCCTTTCATTACGGTAGCCGTCAACATGATATAACTTCTAGGTTTATTTTGTGCACCTCTTCCCCTTCTTGTTTCTATCAATATTCATATTTCCTATTTTAGTAACTCTATTGATTATTTACATCATTATTTCCGAAACATCACCACGTGATTGGTAATTTGATTAAATTGTAAACCTATATATTAGTATAGAGCCCAAGATGAAGACCTAATTGAAAAGAAATATATTTCTTCGCTCAATCAGTCTTTTCCTAAACTGGATTTATTGATTTTTAAAAGTAGTTCTCATCACTGATTGAAATTAGCTGAAAAACCTTCGAAAACCTTTCAGCACTAAATAATTATTTCATCCTAGTCTATGACTTGTCAACAGGATCGGAAAAGCAAAACAGACCTTCATTAACCTGAAATCAGTGTGGAGATCTACTGCATTCAGCATAAAGAACAAGATCCAGATTTTCAACATTAACGTCAAGTCAGTGCTTCTATGTGGTTCAGAGACTTGGCGCGTCCCGAAAAGAGTTTCCAACAAGCTACAAACATTCATCAACAGCTGGCTACACTCGTTACTGAAGCCCAGATGGCCAGAAATAATAAGCAACAAGGAACTCTGGTCTGGCAACGAACCAACTAGGAACTCATCACCCAACAAATGTGCAGAATAAAGTGGAGATGGATTGGATTGGACATACACTGAGAAGACCATCTGGGGATATCACGCATCAGGTCAGGCCAGGCCGTGGTGTGGAATCCAAATGGGAAACGACGAGTTGGGCGTCCGAGGCGACGCTGACATTGAGGAGATCGTGTGAGGAGAAAATGAAATCTTGTGTGCAGTCGTGGAGCTAGGTTGAAAAGACTGGAGAGAAGAGAGTGGAATGTAGACGTGCTATTGAAGCCCTATGTTTCACTAGGAACCCAAAGGACAAATAATAATAATGACTGGTTAACAATACATGTACATAGGCCCGCCTGGAATTCTGCTTAGGGCCGTCAGGTCTCGTTAAAAGTGCATACTGCACCGTGAACTGCTGGAGGAAGACATTAATATACCATTATATACTAATCCAGTAGCTCAATGGTAACATGCTGCTTGTGAGGTTAGTTCCAGGTGGGGTCGTTGGTGAAAGTTGCTGAAGTGTCTCACACTAGCACGAAACATATGTCTAATGCTCTTAGGTCTTCAATGGTTCCCCAGTATATGATCAAAACTGTTGTTTAATTCTACCCATCGAAAGTCATGAATCAATGTAATTAGTTGTTCGGTGACATTTGTTTGTACCAAATTTTCTGATAATAAAGCTCAATTCGATTGAACAATTTTGTTTTAGACATTGCATTTATCATTAATTTCAATTAGTGATTCATATGAAATAAACTTCCTTATATCATTTGTCTACTGTTGCTACTTTGCAGTTTGGAGCCTGATTTTTTAATTAAGCTTTAACTCAACACATGATTAAGTTTGTATATATTTGTAACTTGGGGTCTGCACGAATTGTTCTTCCAACCTCCGCTTAAAACAGGTTTAGTGCTTACTATCCTGATTGATTGATTCATTAATGGTATGCTTCCAAATTGTTCTCAAACAAATGGGATGAATGAAAACTGAATTACACACAGTAATTGAATTTTTTTTAAAAATGACGATTAGTTTGGAATAGTACATTATGCGGAAATAAATTACATTTCAGTACGAAGTTACCGAAATGAAGTATGCAATGAAATAAGTCTTTGGAAAAATTCTTTCCAAATCAATAAACTAATATAATCACTTTTACTTATTACAGGTTCAAATTTTTCTACCTTTGGTTACTATAATATGATCTTTTAACTTACCGTTAATTTGATTCTTAATTTCTGTCATTTTCTTAACTTCTTCTGTATTCACTTGTTTTATTCGTTCAGCTAAGTATTTTTCAAGATTATCAATTTCATTTTTAAGTTTAGAAACTGTATAACCAATTTTTCTCACCTAGAAATGTAAAAACAAAGATCTTATTTTTCCAGAAAAATATTACATTAAGTAAGACCATTGATAAATGACTGTCTGTATTATAATCATATGAGTAAGGCTTGGTGTATTATAGAATTCTTTTCTATGATCAATGTTTCTCTCTGTTGACTTTTGTTTTTTAGTGAAGCTTTCATCGTCTTTCTAGACGACATCATCAGTACTAATTTGAGTATGAAGTCTTCTTCAGCTGATAGAACGCAATACAACCATGACTATCCACTTAAGCTACAAATATTCTCCACCATTTCAAAATGAACAGAGTAGTAAGAACACAAATTTGATCATATACAATGTATTTCGTTGTATTCTCATAAGTTGGCTTGAAGGTTATTAGTAGTGAATTAAGTAAAGGAATAAACATTAGGAAATAACTCAGAAATGATCATTTCTATATTTCTAGAATTATCATTCTTAATTTCATATGCAGCCTTCAACGTTTAACTGTTTTATGCCAATTTTAGACTTCAAGTTTTCACTTTGATAGATTTTGAGCTGTCATGTTTATTACAATTTATAATCTATGAACGGCTGACCAAGATGGTACGAAATAGAATATATGAGGTGTTTTCTCATACTCACTCATTTGACACTAACTTCCAACGCAGCATCATACACTTGCACGCTGACCACTATCTCTATCTCTAAAATCACAAAAATACTTCTGAATTCATACGAGTTGTAAGAGCTTCTTCGACCTTAGTAGTTTCAGTCAGTTTATAAATGGAGTTTGTCCTACTGAACATTTCCTATACTGATTGATGTACATGATATCATATAGGTTGTGTTGTGACCGAGTGCTGGGGTTGCCCGCGTGGGTATAATGAATACTGAGACTCAATAGACACCTCAACCGAACACCTTTACGACTGACCTCCCTCAGTACCTTCTGCTTTACTGAGCAGCCGAAAAATCAGAAGACAAAGACCGCCTGTGACTGCAAGAACAGCGACAACTTTTATTGGGCAAATACATGATATATATGTATTTACAAAACCCTCAGAAAGTGAAGCCATAAATGAACCAATCCGATTTCTTGTATGAGGTCGAACTTCTCCAATCAGGTTCTCATGTCAGGGCACGCATAAATCACGACCTGAACATGATCTGATCACGACTTGAAAACAACTCCCCTACTGGCTGCCTTTTGTCGCTAAGTAACACTGTGCTACGTTGGAGTTGGTAAAACCGATAGACGAACGTCATCAACGAAATCCTGCATTCATGTGAGTTGGAACTTGACATTTCAAGACGTTAATAACTGATTTTGTTTACTTCCATTTTTCATGTGCTACTGAGTGATTTGTTTATTTCCACTCAGTAATTTAGCAATAACAATTATTTTCTATAGAAATAGGAATCAGTAGGTATTACATTATTGGTTTGTGTGGGTTTAAAAGATTTCAAAATAGTTGTTTCTATGATATATGTATTTTGTGTCAGACTCTGAAGCTCAGTGGTTAAGAAAGCATGGGAATCATTCCATTCGTCCTTCAATTGCCACAGTCTATATGTTCACTTGACCACTTTGATATTTTTACTTCAAATATACGTTGCCATTTGATTCATTTATACCAAAGTCGATAATTGAGTATGTTTAACAGAGAATGAATGCAATATCATAACGAATTCAGCAAAAACGAAAATATGAAGGAAAATAATTTACCTTCATTTTAAACTCCTAAAATCTTAAGGTTTTATCATTTTGTGATGATTTAATCAAGCTAACGGAAAACACTTGCTCAATAGGCTGAGAATGGCATAGGACCATATATCGTCTCATTGTTTCTATAGAAATCAGGGTTTATTTTTTTTCCCAGAGAAATAATCTTTGGAATATTCTGTTCTTTGATTTGAATGGTTTAATGGTACGACATTCACTGTCATTCTGAACAAAATCAGTAAAAAAACTCCAAGAGGAATGAATTATTAAAGTTTCACCACAAGTAGTTTATCCTCATTATCTGGGATGTGAATCGTTTTACTTCAGAAGTTATGCCTTAATTGGCTGTATATGCTTTCCGATTGGTAAGTTTGCTGAGTTAATATAAGACCTTCCAGTTCGTCTTTTTTCTCACTGGATCAGATTGGGTCTATTTCGGTGTATGTATTGATTGTAAATTGATCTTATTTCCAAGTTTCTTAACTTCCCTGTTGTTTATTGCATTTTTTTCTTGTCTAAATTTTTCACGGTTTCGAATCTGAATTCATGCTTACAGTTTTCTATATACGTACATTGGAAAAATCAAAGGGAACTGCTAGGTTATGGCGCCATTTAAAAAGGAAGTCAGTCAAATCCCACTTCATCAGAATCAACTACTCATTCACTTGTAGAGGAATTCGAATAACTCTTTGCTTTCAAAAATGTCTACTGATATGTTGCTTAACAATGGGCAGTGGTATGTGTTAATAAATATGTAAGGGTTATTCCTGATGCATGGCAAAATGTACAAAATAGGTTTTTATATTTAATGGCTTTAACTAAGTTATAAATTATGCGCCTTTTTTGATAAAAGAAGTGAAAACCAGATTTGTGCTGACCTAAGTTTATTGATAATTAATTATCAGTAAAACATAACATCAACTGCGAATCCCTGTTATTTTTGTTTTCCATATGGTAAGGTATCAGTGAGTCAACTGTAACTAATTATTGTCATAGATACCTATAAATTCTCGGGGGATTAGTTTGATCTCCGGAGGATACCTGGTTGACTCGGAGTACATAAATGCTAAGTAAAAATGCTGAGCAAATGTAGAGTCTTCTGAACGCCTTGAGCAGAAATCTGAGTATGTTTGGCATGCTTTTCTCACCTGTAAAATGTAATATGACGCAGCTACTTCTTGTTTAAGGATGATGCGTGAAGTGTTTGTACGTATTGACCACTTCACTCCCTTAGGAAATTGCGTCAACCCAAATAGGTTAATAGCTGGCAGTAAATCAGCTCGGAAGCAGTAGGTTCAAGATAAATTTTTCAGCTTAAGTTATCTTTGGGGCTGGTTACTTCTTAAAGATCAAGTATGCTACACTGCAGTTTACCTTGTTCTATTTTGTCTGTGAGACATAGCCATTCAAAATAGAAGATATGAAGAAATTATAGGTTTTCGAACACAGGTGTCTTCATAGTATTTCCCATATATGGTGAAGTCACTGTGCGAACGATAGAAAGTTTGATTACAGGCTATGAGACAAGGAGGACAAGTCATTCTTTGAGAAGTTGGACCTTTTGCGACTGAGGTGACTTGTCATGAGTTATCTACGCTCAGCGACTGCCTACTTCAGCTTGCAATTTCACATGAAATAAGAGTGAGTTGGAATAAGGATAAGGGTGGTCACACCAAGAAGTGGTACTAGTCAATGAAGTGTTTTACTGTTGATTTGATCTGTGTAAAGGGGTGGTAAGCTACCTAGCTGGGTATCTCCGAGATAACAGGAATCAACGGTTGGTGATGTGTCTGAAAATCAGTCAAAAGACATATAGGTATGCACTCGTTGACGTCTTTGACAGTGTTAGCACTTTCGCTAAACTTGGTTTACGAAAATCTTCTCTCATACACTTTTACTTACCTTTATATAATCTCTCTCCATTTGTTCTTTGCATGTTGCTGTGTGCAAGCTTGAACTAATGCACTTCTGTATGAAGTTTTGTTGATCTGTTTCTCAGTATCTTACGATGACGTAATCTGGTTACTCTTTTGAATAACAAACGGTTAAGAAGTCATTTTGAAATGATGTGTATTATAACTGAGTGAGGGATTGAAAATAAGTAACGCTAGGAAAAACAGTAATGTGAACAACACTCATAGGCTCAGAACACTCAATATTCATCAAAATTTGACACCCTCATAATCTGTTTTCTTTTAACGAAGATAATTCGTGATCATCTTCTATTTCCATCCTCCTCCAGCTTCTTCTAGTGTATTCTGTTTCTCTTCTCACATTTTTTACCTGTTGATGATCTATTATCCTGACTTTCGCCAAACGCCATATTATATACTACTTAGATGCTTTCTTATCAGTAGCATGGACCAAAGTAATAGCTTAAATCGAGGTAATAAATGCAGCAAAAATTTCACCAGATGAAATGCTTGTGCATTTTTAGGTATGATCTCCTTTGGTAGACTATGTTGAAGGTAACTGGATAATAGGAGTTAGTTATTGAAAACTTTAAATAATATGGTTCAAAGTTTATGATCGGCTGAAAAATGAATTGGTGCTTTATGTTACTTAAAAACTTTAGTCTTATTATTGTTATCTTTTATATATTTTATATACTCGCAGATCATTTCATGAATACTATTTCAGCTGTTGACATTCTCACTATGATATATCATTTGTTATTACGACATGTTACATAATTATTAATAATGGAAATTAGGAACAAGCAGATAAGGATCCGTAATATTCGGTTTGGTGTTTTTTGACAGTCATCAGTGATACATTTCTGTAACTTTGAGATGTTCAGTGTTTCATGAAAGGTTCTCATTTAGATGATTCAGTACACAAGTGAAGAACTTTACTGAACGATTTTTTATGGAACTGAATTGTGTAAACAAATTGCTTATCAGATAACAATTAGTGAAACTGTCAACTTTTGGGTTCGGTCATATTTTAACAATTAGACACTCAATGTAGTCACAACAACCGGTTAATTAGTACCATTTATAAAGGATAGAAAACAGTTTTTAATCCGTTGATACGATTTCATTGGCTGTTTGTTATTCTTGATTATTTCTTGGCTATTCGATACACAGTTGACAGTTAGATTGACTATTAGTGCATATATTCATGCAGTCACGAAGAGTATTTGTAGCTCAGGCGGATGATTTTAGTAGTTTTGTGTTCTTCGAGCTGACATTGTCATTGCCTTTCTACGTCAACATCATCAGTACTAATATGAATATGAAATGAGGCATAATCATTTCTCTGAATGTGATTCACTAGCCTATCATGACAAAGTAGTGTATTTGATTTGTAGTTTATTTTGATTATTTTCTAGTTGGCTGCTCAGGTTTTCCAGCTCGGAGAATGCAACACCATCGAGATTCACATGGTCAGCTGGCAAATAGTTTCTGTATTTAATATTCACTTTATTAGGTCTTGAGGAAAGTTATCATTCGATAATACTGAGTTAATGTTGTCACATCCATTAGTTAAACTATCCAGTTACAGTTACTCAGTTTAGTTTTCATTTACCATGAAATCGTTTCACTAAATTTCTTCCATTCACAAACTATGGTTAAGTAGTGGGCGTTGCTGATAGGAATGGATATAAGTAGTATATGTTGAGAGGGTGGCAGAAATCATGGGGAATTACCGGCAACGGATAAAAATTCCTCCAAGAGAAATGCAAGAGACAAAGCAGGCGTATGAGGAGGAAATCAAGAAAGAAGCAGATGAGGAAATGAAGCATATTTTGCAAATGACGATTCTAGTGCAAGGTGTACGAAATTTAACCAATACTGTCCCACTTGTTGACAACAAACATCCCTTCATGCATACCTATCTTTTGCCTCTTTAAAGTAGTGTCGCTGCTTCTGGAGGTGATGAAGTTTCCGTGGCTTGCAGAGTTCGAGGATGGAGACATCAAGGTCTTCCTCAGGGACTTCGAGTTAGTCGCGGAGACGGTGGGTGCCCGGGATCCAGGAGCGAAGATCGTGATACTTGGCATGTTGCTGAGGGGTAGAACGAAAACAGCGTATTATGGCGTGGAGAGAGGAAGGAGGTTTGACAGAGAATGGTTGAATGACTGGAAGCAGAGTTCGACAGCCCGGCGGACAGGGAGCTGGCGATGCAGCAGTTCAGAAGCACGAAACTTGGAATAGATGAAGAACCGCTGGTATTGGCTATGAAGTTGACTAAACTACTTCGACGAGCACTTCCCACGTTTGATGAGGAGTCTCAGGAGCGTTTGCTAGTGGCACAGTTCACCGAAAGTGTCCCGCCTGTCATCGCCCAGCAGCTACAACTAGTCAACACGGCCCAACTCATGAATATTAATGAGATGGCCAAGGTGACCAGACAGCTGATGGGTAAAACAGTAGCTTCAGTGGAGTCACGAGAGGTAAATAACTGGAAAAAACTGGTCGACAACCTTCAGGAAGAGGTGGGTGCACTTCGAATGAACATCAGCAAGTGGGACAGTATTGGTTAAATTTCGTACACCTTACACTAGAATCGTCATTTGCAAAATATGCTTCATTTCCTCATCTGCTTCTTTCTTGATTTCCTCTTCATACGCCTGCCTTGTCTCTTGCATTTCTTTTGGCGGAATTCCTACCCATTGCTGGTAATTCCCCTTGATTTCTGCCACCCTCTCAACATATACTACTTATATCCATTCCTATCAGCAATGCCCACTACAGTTACAACAGTATATTATGATAAAGATAAACTGTTTCGAAATATATATTCAACTTGTATTCAAGCATAAATGTATAACTTACTTCTGTATTATTTTTACAAATTTGTTGATCTAATTCTTTAATGAGTACATTTAATTTTGTTTGACTCTCTTGATCTCTATTTTCAAGTTCTCGTATATACTTTTTTCTTCTCTTTTTATCCTCTGGTGTAGTAAGTAATTTAGTTAATAATAATGTTCTTAAATTTATTAAATATTCCAATAGTTTTGTTTTATTACATTCAGGAAATTGTGGTAAATTGATCCATTGAACACTATCTTTAAAATTACTTATTGTCTCTGGTAATTTCCATTCATTCGGTAATTGATCTGCTTTTTTTAGTATGATACTGGCTAGAATTTGATTGACTAAAGGTTGAGACAACATAAAATGTAATAGTTTTCGAATACTATCTACCAATTCTTCTTCAATTTCATGACTTTCCTGAAAGGTAAATTGGTTTCGAGTACACAGCATATATATATATATATATATATATATATATATATATATAAAATAGGATTTAATGGGATCGATTGGTTGATTTCAGGATAGTAATAATCAGTCATAAAATGTACTTCTTTTCAGGGTAAACTAATGTTGTAAATGTGGTTTTTAAGTTCATCACTGTAGTACCCTTTAGGTAGATGCAGAAAAACTGTCAATTTTAGATTACTTTTTGTTGTTTATTTGTAGATACAGTGTGTAGGAAAAAAGTAAGTTTTGTTGCTGATATTAGCCTGGCTATCCATGGAGATGAGTAGTGTGAAGTTTAGGTGTAGAGTACTAATTAAGGAAGGCGTTTATTGTGCATATCAAACCAGCGTCTACATCGACGTATCATAACCAAAGCTGGGTTGGGTTAGAAAATAGCTACGTGAGGCCAAATGAAGACCTGAAACCAATTTATTGTTTTTGATTGTTCATCTAAGTCATCTGCGGTTCCTGACCAGTATTTTCGAGATATCACAGATCAATGGTTACACACTGTGTGAGATATTACCCAGAGTTGGCTACGATGATGCAGATTCATCCAGTCTTTATCATCTTTGAAGTCTTCAGAATTCTCATTATTTCTTGTCGGTTAGTTTCATCTACTGTTATACATTTTTTCTACTTTAATGTTATTTTTTATCTACACACTTCATCCTTTTACGCTTCTGTGCACTGATTTACTTTTTTCCAGGTTCTGCATTGAATTGTGTTTCATACACATGATTAGCACGGACATAGACCAACCAAACTGTTCTTTACAACGTTCCATCCAATGTTTCAGTCACATGTCCTCGGTGACTGTGAAGTACTTATCCATTTTGGCGATAGCATCACTTATCATCATCTCATTCGTATCAGTTACTTTAATACTACTAAATAGTTGCAAATAGTACTCGATTCTGTTGCCTTTGCCATATCTTTCCCTTTCGTTATATCAAGCAAATTAATGCGCAGTCACATAACATGAGCCTATTTGCCTACCTCAACGTGCCATCCTAGAAGGAAGCTGGATTAGCTTGCAAGAGGGTTCAGCGTAGCCAGACCAAGACATGACACCAGTCAATGAAGTCTCTTACTGTTGGTATGAGTCGTATGTGGCGATGTAGGCTGATTGGTTTGGGTCCCTGAGACAAAAGGAATCAGTGGTTGGGTGAAAATCAGTCACAATGGCGCGAATATATTCAGTCCTTAACATTTTCTAAAGCTTGAATAGTCACATCAACCTTCATCTTCAGATTTTTTATTCTCTCACACAGCTTAACATACTTTTATACCACTCTTCTTCTATCCACTTGTTCTTTATGTACTACTGCAAAGTGTGGCAAGTTGAGCCGAAGCATTTATGCGCAAGGTTTTACTTTGATTTCGTCAGTCGGATTCTACCTCTATTTATAAGTCTTCTATGACGTCGAACAGATTAAACCTACTAACTACTTGACATATAATCATCCCTCCTAAGTTATCCATTTGTGGCTTAAGAATTTTCTGATGAATTTACTATGCTTAATAAATATATGTAAGAACACAATTCACTCCAACAACCTGCTTTTCCGAAATATAACACGTGAAAATTACATCTTGTCTGTGGATCGAAAGGTACAACAGTGAATAAAGCAATGAGAAGATCTAAATCATTGACTTAGATATTAAACAACTAACCATTGAATGGTAAGTTAGAACTCAGTGGAATAATTTTTGACTGAACAAAAACGTGTTAAGCTAAGACTACAAACCAACAGTGACTTAGAACACATTATGTAAACTTGGAACAGCTTGTTGAGTAGTACTGAACAATTGTTATTATTAATTTGAATGGATAGCTAAAGTATTGCACCATTCTGCTGATATATATATATATATATATATATATATATATATATATATATATATATATATATATATATATATACTCTTTTGAGTGTACACTAGTCAATAAGGAGCTTTTCATTTGCCTTCATTTGATTATCCTTCTTCAAGTGTTATACATGTTGTCATGCACTTTATTCCCCTCATTAATTTATTTAAAGTGGAAACCAAAATATTTTCAGAATGCGACAGATTCAACTGCATCTAGGCTGATATCGTTCAAAAATCCTTCACAAAACTAATAAATAGTGATAGTCTCCAAGTTTTTGACCTCACTGGTAGCTGTTACCTTGCTGTAGTGGTTTGGTCTGCATATAAAACTGGTCAAAGAGCTCTACTGGTGAAAGCGCTTGTTCCTTTGAAGTCCTGCCATGCGAGAAAGGTTAATTGGATAATAGTGAGACAAAAGCATTTACCATTATATTGTAAATAGGTACTTTATGATGAAATTTCGAGCGTCAAACTGGATTTCTGGATAGGCGGAGTGTGACAGCAGTAAATTTTTCGCTGCAAAGGATCAGCAATACCATGGTGTTACTGTTTTCCCTATGGAAAGACGGGGATAGAAAAGTTTGGTTTTAAAACTAGCATCCCCTTCCGGCGCCAGCGGTAAGGGTTTATAGCTGGATTCGAAACAATGAGACATAAACTTCTAACTTTTTACAAAGCCTGGTTTGGGTAGGTCGCATGCAAACGTTCCGTAGGCTTTGGGGTTAGGCACCACTATTACTTACCTAAATTTTTCTTCAGATACCTCAAGAAGTCAGATAGATAGAAGACAGGCATTTACTTGGCATTTTGAGAATACTGCTTCGATGAGCAGATAATGTAGTCGCCAGCTACAACTATGCTTAGACAACTAAAGTTATAGACCGTAAGGGACCCTAGAAAACCAGATGGGGTCAGTGAGTGTCAGCAGTTTCTTCTTAGTCATTGGATGCACATTAACACATTTTTGCAGGTTGCAAGTGTACATTTTCCCCTGAGACAGTCATTTGCTCAATGTGCTTCATTTCCTCTTCTGCTTCTATCTTGATTTGTTCTTAATACGCCCGAATTGTCTCTTACGTTTCTTTGGGAAGAATCTTTTCCAACTGCTGGTAATTCCCTATGATTTCTGTTGCCCTTTCAGAATATGCTACTCATATCCATTGTGGTCAGCAGCGCCCACTACACAAGCATATCGAAGAGCAGAAGCAACTCAGATGTAAACTGACAAGAAGCCTACTCAACGACAGTGAGCAGTGGTAGATAACTCAACCTAGAGAGGTGGAAAAGGTGGTGGCGATAGGTGACTGTAGACAACTAATTAGATTAATAAGGTAAACTGGATTGAGATCAATGGTAATTGAGACTACATCGGACAGGGATGTCTACGACTCACTCGCAGGGGATAAAACTGGAACGATGGGTGAAGCACTTCGAGGAACTGTTTAACTGGCCTCCAGCTCTCATTCTGTTTTTCACTATGCAGTAAGATTTTCTATGGAACATTGAGATAGGGCTCCCAGCTTTTATCAAATTTCAGAGGGATGTACGTAAGCAACGTAGGGCCAGATATACTAGTACCGAAGGCGCTTAAGGACGTTCGTCGTGGATTACTGGTGTTGGCTAGCGCGTAGGAAAAATATATGATCCCGTTTGACTGGCCTCAATCACCGATTACCCTAATCGTTAAGATAGGAGAGAAATCCTTTTGCAGTAACTACAAGGAGATCAGTTAGACTAAAATTGTGTCTAAGATTTAGGTTATGTAGTTATGAAACGTCTAAGTAGAGATCAGGTACAGCAAAGCCGAGAAAATCAGGCAGGTTTTAGACCTGGTTCTGAATGTATCGACTAAATACTCACGCTCAGTCAGGTTCTGAAACTTATATGCACTTACCGGCTCTCGACAATAGCTATATTTCTAGACCTGGAGGTGTCAGCTGGCTGTCGATCGAAAGGAGTAGTGGGTTATTACATCACTGTCGAAGGTTTTGTATTCGAACACTTGTGGGTGTGTCAGAGCCCATGATGAGTAGTCAGGTGAGTTGGGTGCGTTGACTGGAGTCCCTCAAGAGTGTCCACTCCCTCCATTCTCAATCATTTTTATTACAGACATGCCTATGAAGGTCTGCCTGGCTCTACAGTTATTGATCTCATCGCTGGGTCATCCTTAGTAAATCCAGTGTACTCAGGTAACATAATTGTGCTAGTTGAATGAGGTGCAACACGCATATCCTTCTGAATGCCTCGAATGACAATTTGAGAGTTACTGCGATGTTTTTCTCGCCACCCAAGTGTGAATTGTTGATCCAGGACTGGTCTACAGCGATCTGCTGTCTAACGCTAGAGAGTGAAATGGTTGGGTATGTTGATCACTTCACTTACCTGAAAAGTTGGATCAGCTCTGGTAGGTTATTGACCAACAAAATCTCTGCACGGATATAAAAGACTCGATTGACTTTTGCCAGCTTACATCATTTATGGAGGAACCATGATATCCAGTGGTCTATTAGGGGCCTGATGTTCTGTCTTTGCATTTCTTTATGTTCTGCTATGTTTATGAAACATGACCATAGAAGACAGAGGATATGAAGAGGCTTCAAGTGATCAACCACCACTGCCTTTGTAAAACAGGTCGTGTGTCGTTGTTACCATGTTAGTAATGTAGACATCAAGTATAGAGATTTAGATAAAAGAGGTAAGTCATTCGATGAGGCCGTGAGTCGTTATCAACTTAGATGATTAGGACATATATTACACATGCCTTGCCACCATCTTACCCATCGCGCACTGTTAGCTGAAGTAGGTCCTAGCTAAAATAGGTTAGAAGTGGTCAAAGTAAAACACATCGTCAGTCCATGAAGTCTTTGACCGTTGTTCTGGGCTACATAGGAGAATGTAAACTTCCTATTCGGAGGTCTTGTGATAACAAAAATCTGTAGTTGAAGACTCTAGGTGATATGGATCAGAATCAATCTTAATGTTACAGATGTATCCACACATCATCTTCACCTTGATCATCATACTGAATCTCACTGTTATCTCATACCTCCTTGCTCTCTTCTGAAGGCTTTGAATCACTCTTTATTACTTTCTGCTGTATACCTCCTTTTTTCATTTTGATGCATTCTTTTTCGATGTACTGATATGAGATATGGCTATTCCGACGGTTATGGAGTAATACCATAACACATGTCTGTATTATGTATCTATTTAGTTCAAGAATTTGAAAGGAATTGTTTTAAAAGCAAACCCAAAAGTCCTAATAACTGAAAGGATTCTATTGAAGAATTCTTATGCTCAAATGTACTGATACTACTACTACTGATACTACGAAAAATAACTTACCATGTAACACTGCGAAGATAATGACTATTTTAATTCCCCACTACTGATCAATCTGAATAAAATTGATTAGTTACAATTTTTACACATGAGGTCTTTTACAGAGACCTCAGCATTACCTGTACATGTCTTCGACGACGTGCACACAGAAATCGTATGCAAGCAATGATTGCTCAATGTGATGCAGGTCAATTAACAACAGGAAAGTCAAACTATTATGTCTAGTTGCATATTAGTCATTCATGTGGGATATAATAACTGCTTTTCCATTCATTGTACGCAAAATTTAGGCAAGTATATAGTATAGTGAGGTATGAGAAGAAGCAATATTCATCAGCGGTAGAGTGTAGTATACGGCGCATTGAAATATTTAACCCACTATATATACATCGACTGGTTAGCGTAACAAACATGATCTGAACAAAATAATTACAAAGATTGTTAAATCAACCTGACCAAAATGAAATACAGAGTAAACAGCAAAATACCTTTGATATATAGTTCAAGAAGTGAAGATTAAAATCATCGGAATATTGTTGGTTTCACTAGTGAAACTGGATAGCTTAACTGTGTTCGGAAAACAATCTTTTGAGGCTTCACAATCCCAGGTATCTTTTACAATATTAATATTGATACTTATATCAGAATACATGCCATGAATTTTAAAACTTTTGTAACTGACGGAGACTATTGCTTGGAGTGCATAAACACTACTCATACACTTACCGTATTCAAGTTCATTCCTGTTTCTGAAAATTTTCATATGACTTACAAGAAGTGCAACTTACCCATATCCTTCACAACCACACATTTTTCTGATAAATTTTTATCAGTGTCAGCACAATCGGCGTAACTAGTTTTTATCGAGTTATATCTATCTACTTGTTTGAAATAAATATTCACATGTTTCAATATATTTTCCTGCTTCTGGACCTACGAAACTTTGACAAGTAGCAATGATTTATCATACCTTGACATTTTCCACTATATTCTGCAAACACAGTATAGTTAACACCTTTTGTATAGTTGTATCTAAAACAGCAAGGACTCTTTTAGCAATCGGGGATCCAATATGTCTGCTAAGAGGCATTAGATCTTGTATGAAATTCATCTTCTGGCATGGTATGCTATTTTCTGAATCCATATTTGCAAATGACATGTGAAAATTGTTCACTTGCTGCCTACTGATGTCAAGATCAGGAAATGAGAATAAAAACCTTACAATAAAAAAGGTAAGAAATAAAGGCAGCTATAGTGACTAAATATCATGGCAAAATTGGCAGAATATTCGTTCAAAATTGCAAACTACCTAAACTTGGTCTTCCCCCTTTCTCTTCTAGCTGAAATTCACTTCTGAAATATAATACCAACTGGTCAAAAATAGGTTTTTCAGTAATTTCAGTATAGGAATCAGACATGGTGCTCAAATGTAATTCGATACTAGGTTAACTTATTTGGTATATCACACAGTTACACGAAATTGCTGAGTGGATGGTGATCTGAGCACAAATGACCTCAGTTAGTCTTGTGTGGAATCACTTTCTATAGACTTATTTGGGTGAGTAGTCGGTCCCGCTTGGCCTCATGACATCTAATCACTTATTGTTTATTGGGAATTGTGAAACTGTGCGCTAAATCCAATAAACTGTGGTTTCACAGTTTCAGCAAGGTGACGAAAGGACGACGAGATTTAAAAGCCTTTAATATAAGTGTAAAACTTGGGCACTGTGATAGAATGTAATTCCATATTAGGTTTGTTTATTCGATGGGTAACACACTAATACAATATTATTTACTTGATGATGTATAAATTATTGTTCATATTGCTCGCACTGATATCATTATGAGCAATATTTTATGCTTGAACGTCATCAAGTAGATAATACTGTACACCTTGCGTTATACATCAAATAAACAAATCTAATATAGATTTCGAAAGTCTTTAGTAGCTGTTTCTGTACAGATAGCTTACATTTAAAGATCGTGACCAGGATGCCTGGGTCACTGTATTCATTTACTCTAGGCAGCAGTACTCTGTTGATGACGTAGTAGTGTGGATCATCATGATTTGTTTGCGTAAAAATCTCTTGGTGGCAGTAATTTCAAGGCGACATCCCTTAGAGTACTCTACCAAAGCTTTTAGATATTTCTGCAGACTTTGCCTATTCAGAACACAATGAATAAGTCCCCAGAATTCAACATCATCCACAAAGGTGAGGATGGAAAACCTAATCACTTTTCATAACCATCTTATGTACAGCAGGCAGAGAAGTGGACCTCAGATATAACCTCGGAGCACTCCATTCCTTACTAGTTTTAGTGAAGAAAACCTTTCCTGACCCCTTCCCTTTGGTCACAAAAAATCTTTGATTCACTTTGTAACTGCACTACCGATTCCGGAGCTTTCAGCTATTTTTGGAGGCCTAATTGAGGGACTATGTCAAGAGCTATGTTGCATTCAATGAAAATTACATTATTCGAAGAATTTACTTTGCAGGTATCGGCCGAATCCTATCTCTTAATAACGAGATTCTCTAGACATGAGTGGTTGACCATAAACTTATTTGTTCAACAGCTAAAAGCCTATCTACTTTGACGGGCACGGAATAAAATTACAGGTGATAGCTTCTAAAACCTTAACTACTAAGCTAGTTGACCTAACCGCATGACAGTTAGCTACTGGATGACTATTATCAGTTTTACAGACTGAAATTGTAGTGACATTCTTCCAAAACCTGGATGAACTCGACTAATTTTTAAAAAAAAAATTAGAATACCGGCTAACACTGGTAATAGGGGGAGATGTAGCTCATCTCGGCCATAGGACTTACTCAAGATGATGTTTTGGAGTGTTCATAGAACAACTAATTTTTGATGAATGCTGGTTTCACTAATGGGATGGCATTGACGGAAAACGTCTCCACGCAAAAGAAGCTACCTTAAGGAAGCACGTTTTTAAGGTATTATCATCGACCTCATCCCTGATCGCATCATTATCACTTATTTGTGTTGGGTCCCCACTCAGTGTTATGACTTGGATGCCATCGTTACTCCTTATTTTTCTCCTAATATGAGTAAAGCCCCTTAAGATAGTACTAGAGATCCCTGAAGAACTCCTTTTTATATACCAACCTAACTATTTTAATTAGGTTTTTGTAAGAAATTCTGACCTCACAATACTTTAGTGCGAATTGATCAGGACTCATTTTAGTAAAATGGTTTTACAGTCTTTTACCTCCTACAAGGTGATTTCTCGGCATGCCTACTTATTCTTGGAGAACAGTTAGATTTATGCCAAACTGATCAAGGTGTTTGAGGACATGAAATCGTTAACTTCACTCCATGCATAATCAATAGACGAGATAAAATCGATTAACCAGCTTGTCGATGATGCTATGTTTAGCCACCAGATTTCCTAATGATGTTGGATAAAGTCACAGAACATTACGTAAACCCACAGCTCAAAATAAAATATTACATAGCCGCTGTTTGCCAAGGGTTGAACATTTAGTCTGAATATATCATCCACCTCATGTGTTCGTTCAAGAATGAACAAGGAAGATTTTTGTCCCCAACTATTACGTGTGACATGACAAACACACTATATCAAAGCATACTCCATACCAAAACATAGCCAGCTATAAGGTAAATTAAGAGACTTCATTAGGAATATTTAAACCATTTTAAACTTAGTATGTACAAATTTCTTACCACTAGACAGTGGTTATTTCTGCTACAATCAGTGATTCATTCTAGTATGCAGTAGACAGCTTGGCGGGTTGAACTGAATAACAACAAGTCAACACGCTTAAGAGAAAATCTTGCCAAGTGGTGAAATTACTCTCCACTTGGAGATTGCCCCTCAAATAAAGCACAGCTCGACTACTCGTGTGCTGTCTATTCTTGTCACTTAGGTATTTGTTCCATCCTGACAACTATATTGTCTTATTCAGATAAGAAACAAACAGTTTTTTGCTAATGCCCACAAGGATCTGTTAAAGTTCATCCACCAAAACTTTTATCCAGTGGAATTTCTTTCTTAGGCTACACGTGTCAGTGTAATAGACCCATAAAGTTATTATTTCACTTGACTTATCTACGCGGGCACTGGAAGCTCTCTCTTCCAAAACCCGTCTGTCTGAAAACTCAGAAATTTAAGTTCTTTTCACCGTTTCAACATCTAGCAGCTGGTTCTGCTAATGCCTCTCTTCTTTTTATTCCATCTTCCAGTAGCCAGTCAAGTTTAGTGGAAAGCCAGAATCGGAGATTTTAGATTCTCTAGACAATAGCTGATACCGTTTTTCTTCAGAACCTAAACAGTATTAAAAATTTTGCATCTGGAAGGGTCCCTCATCGCTAATTAATCTAATCTCTACTTCCACTACTGCCTCATTATATGCACTGCAGGCACCGTCAACTTGGAGTTTTCAGACAAATGACCCTACCACGTTTAAGCCATAGCAACGTCAATGATTAGGTCCCAATTCCTTTGACACATGAATCGAAGAAATCAAAACGTAAATGCATTTCAACTCCAATGATCAAAGTACACGCAACTTTGTTTCCCTTTATGTGGATTTGCAATCCATACACACATAAATCAGGCGTTTTCAATCCTACAGGCTTTCGGTACCTAGGTATACAGGTATACAGGGGCGCGTGTATGTTGTTTATGCTTTCTACCCACATCCTTAGCTTGTTCTTTAGTAGATATCTGTACCTGCCACCACCAATGAGTCTCAAAATGTCATCACAAGCCTCTTTTATTGCATTAGATATCTCTAAGTTTACGTCGGATAAAACGATCCTACTCATCTTCCAGGCTTCGTTGCTTGACGTGCTTTCTTTGCCTCGTTATATCAATGAGAAGCTAAAACTGACTCCTTTTCCTCAACAACAGATTCCAGTTCCGGACAAATTAACTAAAATTTCTCACTGGCTCAAAAGGAAAACTGAGTCAAATTCATCTCGACCTACATTATGCATTAGGCCAGATAAAACCAGTATGTTCAGCTTCGTACAGAGAAAAGTGCCGACCAGACAAAGACTGAAATACTGTGGGCAACTTGACAGATGACAAAAATGGATCCAAAAGCGAATTTTAGCTAAATAAACCTAGGAAGAACCATACCAGATCACGATTCCAACATAAAAGAACGAAATTTTCGAAAAAATGGTAGGAAAAACTTCTTACGGTTGATATTATTTACTTTTGTTTCCAATCAGTGATAGATCGTTCACGCTATTCAAACTACCGCTTCATAAGGAAGCTGGCTGTAACTATATAATCAAACACTTAAACAAACGTATAGTATCCAATATTCCCATGATATCCAATATAAGCCAGTGTAAAACAAGTGATTTTTTCGCGCTTACTTCCAGGTCTTGATGAAAAATGTTAGGTCTTTGATGGATTCCGATGCATTAGGTCTACCCATCAGCCCGACGCGCTGTTGGATGGTGTATAAATTTGTGGGGATTGTATAATTTTTCCAAGGACAATAGGCAGATGGGTTCCCCTGATGTCATACCCCTGGAGATTTATCCGTGTACGCTGTAAAAAAGAGATAGCATCCGGAACTTTTTCCACAAAGGCTGCGTGTTCGAATCACGTCGGGTTCATCAATTTAGGAATTGTCCTGGTGCGAACTTGACGGACGCAAAGACCAATCACTAATTATTCGAACTTGTTATATACCCACGAATGCGAGACCAAGGAAGGACACAATAGCGTAGTCGGATGGGATAGCATACTTGAGTGGTTGTGCCAAAATACCGATGCCTTCTAACTAACTGGCCAGAAGGTCGATTACGAGCAGTGCAACGTAACACGACAGCGAGCCAAATGGCGAGGATGCTTGACCGGGTGCCTTTAGCTTAGCGAGTTCAGTTAAACTATGGTCAGCATCAGTGTTGAATCTCGTTGAACCCTAAGCTATTGATTTTGGGAGATGTATGACGCAACACTTACGTAAATGAGTAGATTTCTTTAAGTCAAGATCTAGATCTTGCACAGCGTTTGCAGAACGTTGGTGAATTTCGTTGCAGGAGACTTAACCACTCTAGCAGAACCTTGGCCAAAATGGTTGTGTAGGTGTTTCTTAATTATGCAGATAGATGTTTGAATTATCCAATGGCAATAGTGAGGATAAGACATTAAATTTTTGGGTTGTTGATAATTGCTTGGCATGGTCGCGAAGAAACGAAGACAGGATTCAGTGGCCTACTAAATAAAAGAAGGATGAAGATGAAGCGGAAGAGAGAAACGAAAAATTTCTAGTAAATGCAGGGAAAAGAAGGAAAATCAGTGTTTAGGGGGAAATTAAATGAGTGTGTTTGGACGAAAAGGAGCTAAAAAAAGAGAAAGGGGGAGAGTTCAAGCAGAGACTGTAAAGTTGGAAATATTACTGATTTTAATAATGAGGCCAACAGAAGAGGTAAGGCTGCTATGTCAGTATCTGGTTCCACTCTCTAAATAGTGTTCCCGAAATGCTATTAACATCATTACTGTCCCCACCACGTCTCATCCACTTGAGCCGGACCGTGTGAAAAAGGAGATAACGCAAAGTATGAATGTTGACTCTGTAGTAACAAGAAATCAACAAATTCAAAATCAGTGGGAAGTAGATGGGATGTTCTTTTCCAGGTCTTTAAACTAAGTTGTCGGTAATTAGTCTGTCAACATTCATGGTATGAAGTGTTTGCCAGGAGATGCATAATGGAAAGAGAAGATAGGTGCGTGGTTAAGGGCCATTAGAAGAATCAGAAAGATAGGTTCGCCAGTTAGTTCTCTCATACGAATCCGTGTAGGAAGCTAATAAGAGGGATCACTGCTTCATTAAGCAGCTGCTCAAGCTTTCCGCTGACATACTGGCATATAAAGTGGTGGCAACCTCATCAGGTAATACCTTCCACTGTCCGCAGACGCCTTACCAGAAGTGTGACTACACTTGGCTTCGCTATATAGTGTGCAAATCTTTTCGTGTTTTGACAGAAGTCACTACAGTGACCGTCAGGTGGAATTTTCAGGTTCCAGTGACTAAGATCATTTAATGTGTCGCAAGCGGTTATTAAAACGCCAGGTAAATTACTGGGAGGTCACGCAGAAGGTAATCGCGGCGGAACTGTTACCACAGTAGCTAGACAACTGTATCAAACAATGCATAAGTTCAAACCCATGACGGCAGCACCGATCAGTGCATGGTAGTACTTAGTCCAGTGATCAGCAAACGATAACATAGAAATAGCTGACGCATTTGCGTCAATAGAAAATAATAACGACAGGAAATCACTTCTGTTGTTGTTAGAAGGCTTGTGTTAGCTGGTAATTCCAAGGTTGCCGTTGGTATGTTTGGACGAGTTGGAGAAGTTGGTAATGGCCGATACAAGAGTATGTCGAATTAATCAGCTCACCGTTTCCTTTGTTTCTTCTCTTTGGTTATTATTATTATTAGTCCCTTGGGTTCCTAGTGGAATATAGGGCTTCAGTAGCACGTCTCCATTCCACCCTCTTCTCTCAAATCTTTTCAACCTGGCTCCACAAAAGCCCACAACCTCACATTTCCTCATCACACGATCTCCTCCATGTCACCCTCTGCTCAGATGCCCAACTCGTCGCTTCCCATGGGGATTCCACTCGACGGACTGGCCTGACACGTGATGTCCCCAGTCGGCCTTCTCAGTGTATGCCCAATCCATCTCCACTTCCTTCCACTGCATATTTGTTCAGTGATAGGTTGTTGGTTGGTTCGTTCCCAGAGTTCCTTGTTGCTTATTCTTTCTGGCAATCCATCTGATATTCAGTAATGAACCAGAGTAGGCAGTTGTTGATGAATGTCTGTAGTTTATTGGGAATCCCTTTCGTAACGCAGCAAGTCTCTCAAGCATCACATAGAAGCACTGACTTGACGCTGGTGTTGTTGTTGAAAACCCAGATGTTGTTCCACATGCTGAGTGCAGAAGATCTCCACACTGATTTCAGGCTAGTGAAGGCCTGTCTTGCTTTTCCGATCCTGGCTGGATTTGGCGTCCTCGTCTGTGCCGCCACCTGTAGTTGAAACAGTGCTTCCTAGATAGGTGAAGGAGGTTACTTCCTTTAAGTTTCTCCTGTTCATGGTGATTGGAGTTTGTTGTTGGTGGTGGTGGTGCGGTATTTTCATCACCTCTGTCTTCTCTACACTCACTTCAATAGAAGTCCCGTCTTCGCTGCCCTACCTCTTCTGCCAACTTGTTAGTTTTCACCTGTAGATCTTCAAGTTTGTGCGACATCAGACACAAGTCATCGGCGAAATCCAGATCCTCTGGGTTCTTTTCTGCAGTCTAGCCAGCGTATCCTCCTCTTCTCGCTCCTCACTGTTTGCTGCATGATCCAGTCCAGTCAACCACAATCAGGAATATCATGGGGGATAGTAGGCAAACTTGTTTCACTCCTGTCTACACTTCACTTCAAAAGCATCACTGAGCTTCCCGTTGTGAATTACTTGGCATGCGGCGTCTTCATATAGGTGTTGTTGAATGAGGCTGATAAAGGTTTGTGGTATTCCATAGTATTGAAGCAGCTTCCAAACTACCTCTCGTTTGACGCTGTCAAAGGCCTTCTCAAAGTCGATGAAGTTGAGGTGAGGTGTAGAGTTGACTGCCATTCTATGCTCTGTTGTATGATGATGCGAAGCGTTGCAATTTGGTCGGCACATGATTTGTACTTCCTGAAGCCAGCTAGCCAGCTAGCTAGCCAGCCTGTTCGGGTCGTCGTTTTGAATCCAGCGCATCCTTTAGTCTCTCCAGGATGATGCGGCTTAATATTTTACTTGCACTGGGTGGACAAGAGAGGGATTCCGCGCCAGTTCTTGCAAACACTGAGGTCTCCCTTCTTCGGCAGTTTGACAAGGTAACCCTTCTTCCAATCGATGGCCAGGTACCTTCGCTTCCTTCCACAACTTCTGCAATAGTGGTGTGAACATGTCTGCTGTTGTCTCTCCTTCTGTTCTCAGTGCTTCCGGAGGGATCTCATCTGGTCCTGCTGCTTTCCTGCATTTCAGTGGCTTTATGGCGTTCAGGACTTCCATCTTCTTTGGAGGATTTATGTTCACTTGTAATTCAGCGACTGGGTTGCTGGTGGTGTTTCTGGACGAAGTGCAGGTGGTGGTGGTGGTGGTCGATTCAAGAGCTTCTTGAAGTGGTCAGCCCATCGTTTCCTTTGTTTCTCTTCTTTCGTAATTAAATTTCCTTCATCATCTTTTATTGGTTTCATCTGTGTTGATCTCTTCCCAGATAGCAACCTGGTTATTTGATACAATGTCGTCAGGTCTCTGTCTTTCCTACCCGCAGCCTGTTCTGCTTCACTTGCCAGTGTTTTGTAGAAGTGTCTTTTGTCTTTGCGTGCACTCTTCTTCACTTCTTTGTTCAGTGTTTTATACATAGTACTCAGTTCCTCATGTCGTTGAGTATCCGTGCACTGGTTTATCTTCTGCTTCACCATCCTCCTCTCCCTACTCGATTAGCTTCCATTTGTATGTTGAGATCCATTCCTTATCTTCTTTCTACTTCCTTCCTAATACGGCGAGGTTCTCCTCTTTAGTTACTCTCCCCATATCGATAGTGACCTGGTCATTTGGTATAATGTTGACAGGTCCCTCCCAACCTGCAGCAACCTCTTCTACTTCACATACAAGTGCGCCGTAGGTGTCATTTATCATTCCGCGCACTATTATTCACTGCTTTGTCCACTGATCTCCCACTCACGTGACTTCAGAGATGTTGCTCAATGTCTCCCACTTTCTCCTGGTGGCTGACTGACGTGAAGATATCCTTTGAAGTTTCGTCATTCACTTCAGTTTGTGTTCTGTTCTGTTCTGTTCCGGGTGTTCAACTTGAACTGTGGTTTATCACCAGCTTCTGTGAAGGCTTTCAACTTGATTTTGAAGGTGGGTTGCTTGCACTAGATAGTGGTGTGAGTGGTGTCGACCTACATCTACTCGCCTTCTTCATCTGATCTGATCTGATCTGATTTTGTGTCGAGTGGACTGGCTGAGTATCCACTTTCTTCCCATTTCCCATTTAGATGAAGTCGATGTGATTTTTAGATAGTGTGTGATGGTGTCTGGTGAAGTCAAATTCATGTGGATGCCTTGTCAATATCCTTGTGTTTGTACACACTGCCTCACCTCCAATCACCAAATGATTAGATGTGCAGAAGTCTGCGAACAGTTCTTCATTCTCATTCATCATTTCACCGAGTGCTTCTCTACCAGTGATGGATGAG